CTTTTTTGGTGCACTTAATGTTGTGTGGCTGCTCCAATGCACAGACCTTCCTGCCTGCGCTTGCACTGGTGCAAGGCAGTGGGGTGTTAGGCTGGACGGGACTGAAACCAAAGCTCTTTTCTGCTCCCTGGGGTCACCAGACTGCTCCTTCCCAGCTTGGGGCCAAGCTTCTCCGTTTACTGGGAGGGGGGACAGCTATTTCCAGTCCCCCAGCACAAGGACAATGCCACATTTGTGCCCAAGAGTCATCAACCATTTACAGGCTGTTATAAATAACATCATTTATTCCATTACAAGAGCTCTGCAATTTTCTGACCCAAAGACCCTCAAAACCCACTTGCCGGCCTAGCCCCTCGCCATCCAGCAGACTTGAGCAAGATCGGCTGCAACGTTACACACCCGTTAATTATTGGGGTACCTCCAAAAAAGTGACAGGGATCGCTACCGCTCCACACGCCCCTCACCCCGGATCCTGTCTGTCCTCACTGGCTGACCCAGGGAAGCCAAGGTGTGCTAAAAACATTCATCATTACCCATCCCAAACATCCTCCAGGACCTGAAGGAATTTCCTGCATTCTGCTGGAATTTGGTGTTTTACCCACAAGGTCGCTAACCAATTAGTGCTAACTTCTAATTAGAAAAACCACAGCCACGGGAGAACCTTCATTTTTGCCTGTGGAGCAGCACTGATGAACAAAATAATTAGAACCACCCTGAAGTGAACAGAAGGATTATAAAACCCCAAGCCCATCTCCACCCCATCCCTGCTGTAACGAAGAGTGCTGTAAGCCGAGCAGGTCAGGCGTAATGCTCCTCTCCTTCCCCAGCAAGGGTCCCATCATTAGGTTCAAGGGGTTTTTGTTTCAAGAGGTTTATAATAGGAACATATTACAAATACTATTTGTTAAAAACAACTCAGTTTTGCAGTGGCATTTGGTGGAGAGCTTGTTTTGAACACCAAAGCCAAGACATGAGGTTGGTGTCTCCATCCTTGATTTCTACAGATGGGTGCACACAATCTGACACTTAAGGGGCTTCTCACAGGCACAGCTAGGAGCAAAATCCAAAATCTAGGTGATATCCTAGACAAATAATTCTCTTCCCAGGGAGAATTACAAAGAACATCAGCTGGACATTAGCAGTCACATCTCCCACACCATTCCTGGGTGCTGAAGATACAGAAACGACCTCTGGTGTGCAACGTCCCTTGCTCTCAAGGCAGGGACCCAGTTGGGCACACAAACATCTCTGCCGTGCTCCTGTTTGCACAGGGGAAGCAGAAATGCAAACACGCCAGCAGCATTTAGAAAACCATTTTTAAAGCTATGCTAGTCAGGAACAGGACTTCTCCCTTGACTGGTAACCCAGCAACTTCAAGGGAAGATTTAAAATATTAAAGACTAACGGGTAGAATTAGGCAATATTTTCCAGTGATCTCTGGTTTCTCTAGCAACTTTTCAAAAGCCTGACTCGTTGGAAGGATGCACCATTTCTGTCCCTCCAGACACGTGCTCTTCCTCTTCCTCCTTACCTTGTCACTGTTTCTGTATTTGCCCCATTTCCTCAGCATCTTTAGCCACTTGTCCACACGTTCGATTTCCTGCTGTTTTTGCTGGTGCAAGGGGGAAGAAGATAAGACAATTTAAGAAAAAAAGCCCTAGAAGATACCTTCTGAAAACACAAAACTTCATTCTCTTTAGGTTTAAACTTTTATGCAAAGACCTCATATTGGGGATGGGAATAATCCACAGACACTTGCAGGAATTGGTAATTTCAAGCCATGGTAATTAAAGCAGCATTGGTAAAAATGATGCGACACACAGGTTTAACGTAGAGAGAAATTTCCAAGAGGAGTATTCCTTGACAACAAAAATCTCTGCAAGTTCAACTAGCCTCAAATCGTATCATCGTATCAGATTGGCAGAAATGAGATGTTACTGAGTCCCAGTTCGCAGGATCCTAACAGGACACGCTCCCAGCTCAGGAGAGATGAGGATGGAGATGATGGCTACCTATAATCTCCACTGCTTTCCCTGGCACATGCAATTCCCTTTTCAAGCCCCAGCCATTGGGCACCGTGCCAAAGCAGAGGGAAAAAGCCTAAAAGTACTTTAAAAGGTGCAATTTCAGTGCAGCGTGGAGGAGAGGAGATGCCTGACCCAGCAAAATAAAAGCTCCAACAGCCGGGCATCATGCAGAGTTCCCACCTCTGCACAAGCAGCAATGACCAGCGGGTGCTGGCCGGCTGCTTTGCTCTCGCTTGCACATTTGTTTCCTCAAAAATTGTCCCCTCCCCAGCCGGTGTAATAAGGATCCGATACCCACGACGACAGAGCTGGCAGCTCTCACCTTCTCCTCCAAGGCGGTGCGGGTTGGCAGCTCCTGCTCGCTGGAAAAGCAAGGGGTGACCAGTTACTCTATGGGCAAGAAAGGGTGCGGAGAAGCATGGGGTGCTGCAGCTCAGGGACCACCTTGGACACCTAAAGAGATACAGCTCGGGGGCTTTGTGCCTTTCCTACAGCTCTCCCTGATGAAAAAGAGGCAGAGGAAGCACCAGTCAAAACCCCACCACCCTACAGGAGCTGTTGGTGGGAAATCAAGCACTGGACATTGCTGTAAATCCTGGGCACAAAGCTCCTTTTCAATGTACACATTGTCAGCAATTAAAAGGGGGGGGGGGGACGTTTCTGGATAACAATTACTTCGAAACCCCCTCCTGCACACAAAACAACTTTTTGTTTGGATTTGGAATAAAAATAGTTCTTTTAAGTATTCTCCCCAGGCACAGAGTGTGCATCTAATTCACTTGCGCCTAGTTTAGGATGGGGATTTCCTAAGGGAACCGAGAACGATCAAACATCTTGTCTCGTCTCTTCCTACACCTCCCTGAACCATCAAGTGCAAACAGAAGAGCCTCTCCCTCTGTGACACACTGCGGGTCTCCACGGAGGCCCAGGAGCACCGGTCTGCACCTTCTGATGCCAGGCTTGTGATGGGAAACCATTTCTGACCCTTGCCTTACAGCAGATTCAAAGCATCAGAGTGTTTGAACATGCGTGATTGAGGGAGGAGGCACATCTAGTCTTTCCTCCTGCATTTTGGGATTGATCAAGCCAAGTCACAGAGCAGCTTATAGGAAAGATGCTGGGTCTGCCACGCTCGGTGCAGATGGATGGTCTGCACAGACCCGCCAGTTGGAAAGGACAGGAGAACTTACTGCAGGAATCCAAACCGGTCTGTAACTTTATACAGCGTGAAATCTGCATCTTCCCACGGGTCAATCTGAGCTCCTTCCTGCCCGCCCTAAAAGCAGAAAGGACATCTGTGAGCTGGCCGGAGCACTGGGAACACCCCAGTACCTGCATCCCACCCCCAGTGCCCGCATCCCTCCCTCCCCACATGCTAGAAGGCATAGAGCCTGGAGACCAAAACCTGCTTTAAGGAGACAAATACAATGCAGGAAAAAGAAAAATGCACAAGTTCAGCCTATCCAGCATCCCAGGTGTGCCTCTGCTATATGGGCTGGGAAGGGCTGTACATCAGAGAAACCAGTGCTGCCGGGCATAAGTCATCCTGCTGTTAAGGGAGCACTGAAGCACTTGAAGCCCAGGACTTTTTGGTATCAGTGCTGAGTGTACACGGGATCCGTGAGAAACTCTGGGGATGTGGTGAGAGAAGATGTGCAGGCAGAAGCAGGTAGAGAGAGCTGGCATGAAGCCTGATGGCATGAGGGTTACTGGGGCGATGACTATAGGGAGGCAAAAGTTCTTATTTGAAGCATTCCTAATTGATTAAATCGCTTCAGCCTTAGCTAGCACATCGGGGAGAAACATGAGGTTGGTACCTTCTCATACTTGGCAACGATCTCTGCTTTCTCCTGAGATATTAAAGACTCTATATCTTTCTTCATGTCAGAAGCTGTAAGGCAAAAAAAAAAAAAAAAAGAGAGAGGGGAAAAGGAGATAAGTAAACGTGTACACAGCATGGGAAATATTTTAGGAAAGTGCTAATAGAAAAACCCTTTGCTGACAACTTTAGTTTCCAGCCATATCCCATAGCTAAAAGGTTGAAAAGCCCCTGTACAAAGCGTGCACGGAGTTCACCCGCATGCAGGAGGACTGCCAGCTCCCCGCTCTCGGCACGGCAACACAACTGCATTTGGGCAAGGGGAAGTCTCCTCTGCTGGAAGACAAGACGCCGTGCCTTTGTTCTTAGGGACACGCATTTCTGTACGAAAAATATTGTGCTTTTAAATGGAGACATGCAAAGTAGCCACAGAGCCCTTGCACTGCAGAGGGCAGGTGCCAGCTGGGTGCTGCACAGCAGAGCGCTCCTGTGGGTGACAGCAAACCCCCACGCTCTTGCCCTCAGCTATGGATGTGAAGCCGTGAGATGCTCTGTAGGGGCACCCAAAGGCAGATTCAGCATCAAAGGAGAAGTTTTTGCCTACTGAAGTCTGCATGCAACAAGTAAATTGGCCTCTAGATCACTACCTTCTATACACACCCTCCAAAAGAAAACCAACACAGCAGCAAGATGACCACAGAGTCCCCATCTACTCTGAGATGGACCAGTCTTGGTCTAACCAAGTCCCTGAGGTTTGTGCCCCCTGCTCTGCTTTGTCCCATACACATACGTATGAGCAAGGTAACTTCCTATATCAAACATGACTTGAGTGTTGTCTTGTACAAGCCCAAAGGAGCATCCTCCCCATCAAGCCATAATCAGTTTCTCGCTGTTCACCAAGGGAAAAGGTTCATCTTACACAACGAGGAGAAAACACAGGCAGACAAAATCCCCAAGGAACCACAGTCCCCAGGGTTGGCTGGGGAAGGGGCAGAGAGAAGGTCTACCAAGTCCTCCTTCTCTGAAACCCTACGGAGCCATGACCAGCACACCTCAGACCACCCCATGCCTATGGTACCACCTAAAGTCAGGCTACCGCGAGCCACAGTACTCAAACCTTCGGGCTAGGAGAGCGATAGTGCTGCGGCAGTCCCGAGGCATGGAGGACAGCGGTAGGGACAGGAAGCCAATGGGGATGGCCTCATCTCCAGCCCACTGACCACATTCCCAAGCACTCTATATACAGACAAAGTCCAGTCAGCCCCACAGCTACACATCTTCCTGGTACCTTCCCCTCTCTTCTCTTCCTTCCCCAGTGCTCGGTTGCTTTTTTCCTAAAAAAAAAAAACTTTTTAAAGTAGTGTTATGTTTTCCCACACTTCTGCTATGAATTAGAAACCCTACTCAAGTGCAGACGGGACAATAGAACATGAATTCCCAGTGCTTATCACCTACATGGCTCCGTCCTTCAGAGTCCTGCTGACTCGCCAGAGGTCCCAGATTGATACTACGTACTTCAAGAACAGCAAGGTAAAATAATTTTAGTTCACCGCTGCAAGTGGCTTAGCATTTGGAAAGTTTTTGAACATTTAAGAGCATAAAGCCTCTTAGAATAGCTTGTTATAGAGGCAGACTGCATTTTGCCTGCTCTAAGGAGGTTTTGCTTATTTTGCCTGCTAAAAAAAAAAAATTCAGCAGGTTTGGGAAAAAAAACCAGAGCCTTAAAATATTTTCCCCACTGTCACATTACGAATGAGCCAGTGATTTACCCAGAACATCTGAAAGCTAAACAACTTCAATAATACAGTCCAGAGGTTTCTTGTAGGGCTTGAAAGGAGCTCCTGGGAGCATCTGGGATCCTCCTAGAAGAACAGACTTGAAAGCTGCCCACAAGAAATTCCAAAATTTTGAAAAGTATTTTGAAAATAAGAAAGAACAAGTTGAGTCCCGTGTTGCTTCTAAAGCTGGAAAGCAAATCCTGCTGTGCTCTGGTCCTTTCCCAAAGCACTGGTGACCACCTCCTGCAGAGGAGCATTGCCACCCACAGATAAAACACTATGCAAGAGCTGCTCAAGAACAAGTTTACTCCGTTGCAGTTCTCTGATGGACACCAGGAGCCATCCCGATCTCCCTTCAGGAGGTACCTGAAGGGTTCTTGTCGTAGGACATGCTATCCTAGCTTCTGACTAAAGCTGCATCTTGGCGGCAGCACTTGGCACCAGACAAGCCAGAGCAACCAAAGGCGTTGCACTTGGGATGATCTGAAGAACGTGATTTTTCCTTGTAGGGTGCAAAAAAAAGAGCAATGAAAAAAAAAACCCCAAAACCTGGGAGAGATATGATGAGCAAAAGCGTCGGGGCTCTCCAAAGTTTAGCCCACTTCTCTGCACCTTCAGGTGTCCATAAGTGATTATTTGTCTCATCTTACCAACTCCTTAATGCAACCTGCTCGCTGTCACTGTGTCTTTCAGACGTGGATGGAGATGATCAGCAGATCCATCTTCATTTCGAAAGCAGCCATCGCTCCCCGTTGCCAGTGGCGTGACAGAAATATTAAACCACACGCAATAATCAGGGCTACCAGGGCAGCAGCTCTTCCGCGATACACGATCAGCCAACAGCACAGGCATTTCACTGCTTTACACTCATCTATACGGACACTGGGAAAAAGCAAACTCTTCACATTCACGGCAGGAATAGGTGTTTCTTTCCCCGTTATTGACTCCACAATCAAAACAGAGCAAGGATTGAAATATTAAAAGGTATTTTGTTCTCTTTTTTTCCCAAGTTGCAGCTCCTAATTCAAACGTTCCCGTGAATTTTGCTCCACGGATGTTAATTGCAGCTTCATTTTTCAAAGTAGCAAGGTCCGAGTAACTGTCTCACGGTGTCTTCTAATATATCTGCATCTTCTTCTTCTCACATCTTTCTTCTGCAAAGATTAACTCAAACTCACTCCCCTGCTTCTGACATTGGGTTTTGGTTGTTATGGGGCCAAAGAATTCAAATGAGGTCTTTTACGTGCTGTTAAAAATAGAAATATTCTGTAGGTTGGATGGAAAAAATAAACTGTACATCAAATTAAATGGGCAAATTTTCAAGATATTTACAAAGTGGAAGTTATTCTGAATATCTCTGACCATGCTCTGTAATAGAATAACCAAAGGAAGAGCGACTCAGTAAACTGGGAGGGTTCATAGAGCAGGAGACAGCAGCAAGACCACAAATATTTTGGCATCCACCTCTGCAAAAGCCTTTCCACAGTCGGAAAGGCCAGACTGGTGTAAAGGAGCCAGTTTTACATCTCATGCCTGGAACGTGCACATTTGTTTTCTCTTTCTACTGTAACAGCGTAAAAGTTCAAATTTAGGAAAAAACTTGAAAGTAGAGAAAACGGATGATGGCAGCGGGAGGGATGGAGATGGCAAGTGGCTGCACCGGCCTCAGCATCCGACCGCAATACTGCTGATTTTTGGAGTCCAAGGCAGTGTTGTGCTTAACTAGGGGACATTCAAAGTATTCTGGAGAGCGAATAGAATATAGTTTAGCTCTGTAACAGCCTATGTTGAATATAGATATAGAATATGGATATTTTTATTATTTAATTCTGTGCATACTCCAACTCCAAAGTAGTTTGACATCATGAAGTTACAGCATTTGATTGAGGGAACTGTGTACATGAAAACTACTGAGACATTTATTTTCTGGAGAGTTTGACAAAATACATCATTCTGCCCTGATATAAATAGGCTACCTACAAATAGGCACGGCCAGTACCTACCATCTTCTCCATATACCTAAATAAGACTGAAGATTTTCTTTTTTTTTTTTAATACACCATTAAAATAACTTTCTCAAACCTGCCACCTAATTTTCTCCTGCAAGCACTGCATTTTCCCAGCAAACAGGTTTTTTTAACCCCTCATGACAAACATACAACGTGAAGCTGCTATGACCAGGAACGATAAGAAAATGTGAACAATGTGAGAATGGTATTAGATAAATTTACTAGGGTATAAGCAACAGAAAGCCCCAAGCCATGCACACTGAAATTCAACTGGGAAACAAAGTTACCAACTAGTTAGTTTGAAAAAGAATGAGTTGAAAAAGCCCACGATCTGCTCTCTCACACTAAAACTTGCAGCTTCCAGTTTACAATTTAAGGAAGTAAAAATTAATCCCAGCAACAGTAAGCCTAAAGATGCTTAATGAAAATGCACGTTACTGCCTACCCATATTGAACACTATCCAGCCACCGGCAAACCTAAAATAAAATACCCAAATTTTGGATGAGAACAACTTTTCTGAAATTAATTCACCAGCTGGGATCTCAAGCATTGGCAGCGAAAAGAACGTGTCTGCATCAAAAATCCAAGACTTAGTGCAAAAATTGCTATCCATCAATCAAATTTACTGTTATAACCCTCCCCAAAAAGTCCCACATCTGCAGCCCTCTGCTCACCACCAGGTCCTCCTCTCCCCACTCCTCAATTTATACAAAACAAGGACAAACTTCCATTAAACTCCACCAGGATGCGAGAATTGTATGTAGAATTTAACCCATCAGAAATGCAGATGGATGTGGTCTGTGAACTGGAGCCGAGACATCAAATGTGTCTTGGCAACCACAAAAAGATGTGGTTGCACACCAGCATGGCTTGAGATGCTCTCCCAGAAATCCACTGCAATCGTGATTCTGGATCTGACACCCCCGAGCCCTCCTCGCAAAGTGGTTTTGCTGTTGGGACCTTGGCCAGAAAGCAATTTCCCAGTCTTTAAATAGAGTAGCTGTGGTGATGCTACCAAGCACCCACCTGAGCCAAAGCTGCTGAATTTTCAGTCTTTTCAAGCCCTTTCTGCCTCCTTACAAGGAAAATACAGAAGTTTGACATGCATTTATACTGGTTTTACACAGGTTTTCTACTGTCAGGCTGCACTGCCATCAGACTGTATTGCTCGACTTCACCATTTTGATGCAAGGTGAACTACAAATCCAGTGTCACTTGGCAGAAGGGCTTTTGAAAATGAAAATATCAGTAAAATCTCCTCTTTTTAGTAAGTACAGCATAGCATCATGTTCTCAATCTTGAGCTGGATTTGGGGATAATCTGGAATCCAATTTTTACATATTTTATACTGTAGAAAAGTATCTAATCAAGCCACTGGAGATTACAGACTATACATTTTGGTTATTTCTCCGTTCCCGCTGCATCCACCAATTAAAGCAAATTAAAGGCAAGATGCAGGCGCACAACCAAATACAGTCAAGTTACAAAATCTTAACAGTTACGTTCCCCAAGCAGAGTCATCTTAACTGCCTGTAGCCCACCTCAACAAGCTCCATCTCCAGGGCAAAACTTGTAAAATTTGCATTTTTGCTTCAGTAACCTCTCACCGCACTGCATATTTCTCCTCTCCAGCTGCACCCAAGCCCGTGGAAATATATATGATCTTTTTTTTTTTCTGCATGCTATTGCAAGCAGAAGGTCATTGAAAAAGGAGAAATGAGTTTAGGTGAAGGTGTGCTGGAGTCCTGAATGTGCTCAATTAATAATAATAGAGACTGCTGGTAGGAGAGAGAAAGAAAAAAAAAGCAGATTTTGACGTACCGTATTTAAAACACCACACTGTATCAGACTGAAACTAGTGCTGCAGAATAAAGTAAAAAAGGTACGTACTTACTACAACCACATCCACCACTGCCGAAACTCAACAAGTCGCCGTTCCTGTTTCACGTTCTATTTTAAAAGCGCATTTTAACACAACGTTTTATGTCTTTAGCTGCCTATGGTATAAGCCTGCAATTTTTCCATTAGGGGAACAGGCTTAAAGGAAATGCTTATGCATCTATGCAAGTGGAAACACTTATACAACAGCTGCTAAGAGGTGAGACCCTCACAGGAGGCACACCTGCAGTCTGCACCGCTTCTCAGCAAGGCACTGCTCTCACTTGTAAAGTTACTACTAGTTGTAACAGTGGCTCGTGCGCTTGCATGCCCTGGAATAAACCTGGACAGGCAAAGCAGTGCAACGGTCCGCTTACAAAGCCGGCAAAGCAAGCTGCAAAAAGTTCAATAAACCCCATCAGGGTTTTTTTTAAGCGCATAAAACAGGCACCTTGATGTGCTTCAAATCGTGCAGGCTACCGGCTCGCAGCAAATTCCTCATCCTGGGTGCCTGGGATAATTTGGGGGCCACAGCCGAGGGGAGCCATGCCAGAGGCTCTTCTCCCACACCCTTAAAACCTTTCCAAAGCAAAACCATGGGGTTACACCACTGCACGTACCTACCAAGAACAGCCAAAATGAGCAGGGCTTTCGGTCTGCTTCGACTGCATGGCCACAGCTCGAGGAAACCTCAAATCTCCCCCAAGACAACCTGGGGGAGCTGCGGGGTGTTGCAGGCGGGCACCGGCACGCAGGGCTGCGGACCTGGGAGGTGACGAGCTGCAGGGAGAAGGTTCTGCTGCGGGAAGAGCTTCTGCTTCGCAAGACCCAGCTCCGCATGCAGAAGTCAAGCTGTTCCCAAGGTCTTGGTACAAGACCAGCCAGTTTCCTCATCTCCGGCATCACAGCTGCCACGGTATTTTTTTTTACTAGAACCCCAGATTTCAACCCCAAAATGGACAATGCATTCAATGCGCTTGCATCAAGGACTTCTGATCCCCATCTGCAGCTCCCCTCTCATTAATAAACTCGGACTGCAAACGCCCTGGCCAGCTTCAAAAGAACACGTCACTGCACTGCACATCACCCATCTCAGCCCAAATCTGGCACTCGCTTACAACCCTGCTACTGAAAAGGAAGAAAGGAAGTCAGACTTGCACTCACAAAGTGAATTAAGACTTCAGGAATGAAATTACTATCAAGCAGGATGAACCAGGATACAGGAGATCCTGTTTGCATGTTTATTTCCTTGACTACAACAAAAGCTCAAGAGCATACAAGCAAGCTTTTTTTTCTAAGAGCATAAGGAGCACTAAGCCAGCTGAACTGCCAAGAGGTTTATGTTTTAACTACCTCGAGGTCTTTGAAAATTATTGCCCATAGATCACTTTATATGAATTGCAGATGTATTACAGAAAATTCAAACGAGTTCCTCTCCCATCAAACTTGCATTGTATCTGAAACCCCGCTGGATAAAACCATCAGCAGAGGCACTGGAAACACCCAAATGAGAACCTCCACTGCAACTTGCTTCGATGCCCAACGTCCCAATGAGCCAGAGCATCCAGCACCATCACAGACGAGATCCCACCAATTTATTAGTACATGTACCCAGAGCATACGATGGCTCTTGGGGAGATTCTCACCCACGCCAGAGCCGGTTTGTGAGTTCGAAGAAAAGAGTGCGGAAATGCAACCCAACTCCAAGTATCGTGCCCTTACCTGAGCCTGGTATCAGGTGCCGAGATGCATCAGTTCAGCTGGAATTATCCTCTCCCCTGCGGGCATCTACCTGGCAGGAACTGCTTGTCTCGGACGTGGGGTAGCAAGGACCCCCAACCACCGTAGCCCACTGGTTAAATCCCCCTTGGCCTCACTTGTGCTGGTCCAGCTTCGTGCATCCACTTTCCCCTCCACTCCTCCGGCACGGGAGAGCTCACCGCGAGCAGCCAGGAGAAAAGGCAAGGCGGAAGGCAATCCGTAAGTGGGCTCTCTCTCCTCCCAGCCTCACTGCAAACGAAATAAGAAGTTGGTAATTTTTTTCAGTTCAAAACATCATCCTTTACCAGGGCAGGGGGTCTTTGCACAGAGAGGAAAGGCAGGTCCCACTGGAGCAGGCAACAAGGCAGCGTCTCAGGCAGGTGGGGAAGGAACAGGCTGTAACAGGAGGGCACCCAGCAACAGAAAGTAAACCACGCTTATGTGCATTGCAAGAAAACCCTTAGTGTGGGTCACAATTGGATTTTATTGGTTCAGTGGGTTTTTCAGGATGAGTTTCCCCTCCCCATCCAGCTCATGGCATCAGCCCGACCCAGCACTATCCCGTTATAGGGCTTTTATTTGGGGCTGGGCAGGAATTTTACAACTACCTGACCGTACATGCCGGGTACCAGAAAATCAGCCCATGTGCCTCCAGCTGCCCATCATCTTGTCCGAGGCGTTTATCCAGGGATGCTCAGCTCAGATACAACCCAGCACCTGGTTTGCGGCGGGGGGCTGTTTTTTAGCCCATTTTCTGGTCTGGTTGAGTACCGGGGGATGGAGGGACTTCCAATGCAGATCTCAGACTCCATCACACCTTTGTATCAGCAGACACATCCTACTGGCAACTCAGCAGGCAGAATGTAGCCCCTGCCCAAGCCAAGGCACAGCTTTATACCCAACTTCAGCCGATCTAAGAGCAAGTTGCTGCCAAGAGGGATGTAATGAGGGGTCCAGGTCATCCCCCCAGGACTTTGGTTGGGTTAAGACCAGTAACACAACATCACCGACTCGCACGGGAGAGCTGGCACTGGGCAATGCCACCCGAGCCACCTTCCAGCATTTGCTGTTCCTACCTGCTACATCCAAACAGCTAACACAGTTGAAAGGACATCAGAGCCCAACATTTAGCTCTCATTTTTTTAAAACAAGTTTTAAAACATTTTTTTTAAAAATGCCCGGGAGAGGAAGCACAGCTCGCTTTCACCATGAGCAGCCACATTAATACCACCACCTCTCCTCTGATCCCTCTCACAAGCACCCAAAAGTGGACTTTTCCCCACGTTCCTGGGCTGTCCTGTGCTGAATTTCCCTGCTCTCACCCCTCCAGCACCCAGGCATGACGACCTGGAGACCCCAAAGTGCAGAAAACTTCACGCCCTTTCAGAGGTGGCCACCTTTATCATCAAGTAACCTATAACACAGATTACATTATATATACATTATGTGGCTTACACACATTACAATGCAGATTACCCACACTTCTCTTTGTTCTCCCAATTTGCATCAAGCTTTTAAAGTACGATGGCTAGCAGTAGTCACAACAATGATAATACTTTACCACTACGGCAATACCGTGAAACCCAAATACATTGGCCAAGTGATTTAGTTACAGAAATAAGTACAAAAACCCCACAACTACACAAGGTTGCATTCACATGCTTTCTCTCCCCACCATCCTTCCTCTGCTCCCAGCATTTACGTCTTGCTCTCATTTTTCACACTTTTTTTTTTTTTTTTTAAAATGCTGTGCCTTAGTGCTCAGGTTAAGATTCTTCTACCCAAGGATGGAGGTGGGAAGAGAGAAGCAAGACCACCGATAAAAAGATTTGCTTTGCTCCCTGCTTAATGCTCGGTAAGTCCAGCCTTGGAGCTTCTGCAAAGCTCAGCTGTTGCAATGTCAAAAGACGTGGTTTTAGACATAAGCTAAGCCCTTGGAGCAGAACAGCGAGCCTACAAGCAATTCTTCATCAGCTTCTACTTTTAGATCTCATGAGGAATAAAAGAGCATCCAAATATTGTTTTTTAAGCTCTTTTCGATAGGAACTCATCTTCTCCAGACAACAATAGCAAAAAAACCCAGTCAAACAAAAAAACAGCACAAAAAATCCCAAGATGAATGACTTTTTTTTAAAGTAGCATTATTTAAATGATTTCCAATTTAAAAAAGAGAAATAAACTGAAGAATGCAAAAATCCACATGCTGCTTTGGGAACTGAAGACTAATTTTCTCTCTGCATTCCCTCTTTCTTCCAATCCCAGTGTCTATAAAAAGGCTAGAAAAGTCAGGCAGGGGAAATAAAAATCCCTTTTTTTGGGGTAACGCACTGACCTAGAAAGGAACTACATAAACATGGAGCTTAGGAACCGGCTTCTCTTGTTTGCTTAAGACTGGAAGAGGAGTTTACATTTCTTTAACCACAAACTAAAGGAAGCTACAATGACGGTCATTCTCCACTTGGACATGCATTCCTCTCAAAATATTGTATTTTATTCTTTTTGGTCCATGTAACAACACCATGGGACACAATACTCTTCCCTTTTACCATCCCCATGGTCATTCTTGTCTGCAGCTATACATGGCAATTTTGGCTAAGCTAAAAGCTCTTATTGCATCTCCTTTTGCTATGTAAATGTTTTTCTGCTTTTCGGCTCGATGGGCACTGTCAATGAGAGGTCACCCACACCTGATCCGTGCCTGAAGCAGCGGGGTGAGGACACGCATCGTGGGTGCTACCTAAGATGTCACCCCGTGGAGCTAGCAATGGTCACTGGCCAAAACCAAAGGAATAAGGGTGCAAAAATAAGCTATATAAAAATAAGCTGCCGGCAGCCTGTGTTCTCCTTAGCACAGAGGGACGGTATCTTTTTTTTTTTAAATACAAATAAGGCGATAACAAATGTACTGTTATATAAAGTCACTGGGACAGCCAATGAAATAAATGGCTAGGAAGTTAAAAATCCACTAACAATGAGATGCAGTTTGTCCGTGGAAAACTCACCCAAATTAATCATTGAGGCGAATGATTTATAAGTTATGGATATAGAAGTAGACTTAAAGTGAGACCTACACTGACCGTGTGGTGACTGCTTGCACCCCGTTTTTAGAAGGGGAGGCAGCTTGAGCCATTAGCCTAACCCTGACCCAGACTAATGCCCATCCCCTAGGAAAATATGTTTTTAAAGTGAGGTTTTCCAAGTACCACCCTCATTCCTTCAACCACTTTAATGAGTTTAATCAGCTCACATCGCCTCCAAACACAGAACCTCATGCAGTAAATTATTTGTATTTGGCAGCCTTTACAGAGGACACTCCCTGACCATTTTGCTGGCAGTACCTTGGACTTGTATTACCTTCAAACAGCATCTCTGGATGCTAACAGGCAAGTTGTTGTTAACCTCTTTTCATCTACCAAAGCCCCACTCAAACACATCCAGTAACAGAAAACTTCAGGGAAACACGAATTATTCGATCTGACACTGCAAAGTACTGAGAAGATGTCTCCCAAAGCTCTTTTACAGCCTTGAACCATATGCAGGACAGCATTAGGATACACAAAATTTTTAAGGAGTATGAAAGCAATCTTTTTTAATTACAACATAACTTTTCTCTTCCTTTTTGCTTGTTGACAAGTCCTAAAATTACCCCAACTGAACAGCCACAGGAATTTTTGCTTTTTTTTTTTTTTGTGCAAAAGCAACATTTTCTATAAACAAGAAAATCTAATGGTTGTGTTCCCTTCGAGGAAATTGTTCACACAAGAAGTCCTCCCCTCTTCCCTTCTTGGAAAACATGTTTATAAAATCCAACTGGAGGTGAAGACTTAAGGCAGATGTAATGCTTCAGCTTACAAAACAGCAATGATCATGTAGGATACCCTGTTAAAAGCAGCTCGCCAGCTTAGGAGTCAATAGAAAAATAACTCGAAGGCTCTTGGTGGGGGGGGTGGTTCTTTGATAACTTTGATAACTCAAAGGTTCTTTGATTGGGGGGGTGAACCCTACATTATCTGATTGGTTTTGGTTTGGTTTGTTTGGTTTTGTTTTTAATAGTGTCGTTTGGTCAGAGCTCCAAAATACATCTTACACTTCACAATGTATTTGGCTGTCACCACTTTACTTTACCATGGTCAACGTAAAACTCAACTTGACACTAAAAATGGATCCATTGGGACTGCTGGGATTGAAAGACAGACAGACACGCAACTTTCCATCCAAGGAAAATGAAATGGTACTGATATTTTGGAGTAAGCCATATTATTGCAATAACAGCTTCGGTACTTTACAGAGAAATGCAATGAAATGATGCTCAGGGGAGTGGTGGAAACGCAGCCGGGTGGGTTGGTGCTGGATGCCGGTAAGAGCTAAGTGTGGAAGAGGATGCAAACCTCCCGGTCACCGGCAGAGCCGTAGTTGCTGGTCACGGGCGGCTGGTGAGATGCCATGCCGGGCAGTGACCGGTGGCAAGCAGCATCAGCTCCTGGCCATCAACAGCAGCCAAACCAAGTGCTCCCGAAACTGCAGTCCAAGCCCCACACCCCCAACCACAACCCTGTGTAAGTGCAGAGCTCAGCTCCCCATCACCACAGCGCGGAGTCCCCAGTCCCAGAGCAAAGCCACCCGGTCCCCGGTGCAGAGGGTGTGAACAGCTGATGCCTTTGCATGTCTGGTCAGGGGATAAAATGGGTCTTCCCCCCTCCTCCACCAGCCCCACATTCTCCCCGAAGTCCCCAACGACACTTTTTCCCCTTGCGAGCGCACTCTTAGCACTTGGGTTCTTTCCTAATTAGCTAAACGCCAGCCTCCAAAGGGCTCGGCAAGGATTGCTCACGTTACCACACTGCCGTTTCATGGGCTTTACCACAACAGCAACGCTTTTCTCCAACCCACAGCAGCGAGGCCAAGCCCCTGGCAAGCACCCCTTCGTGAGGGAGGCGGCAGAGCTGCCACACTTCGTAGCATGTACCACCATGTAACAATGTACACTCACAGCATCCCTAGGCCGCCTCAAACCAGCGTGAACCAGAAATTCAGGTTTGCC